TGAGAATCAGGTGAGAGTAGGAAGATGGGCTCCCAGACGCCGCGTACCGAGTGACCCGGGCCAGCTGGCTGCAGCCAGTTCTCAGTTTCTGTGTAACAAACTACCCCCAAGCGTGATGGCTTAAACAACCCCAGCACTACCTCACGGACCCTGTGCGTCAGGACCTAGGGAGCTGCTTAGGAGGGTCTCTCACGGGGTTGCAGTGAAGATTTGTTTTCTTAACTTGGATTGTCTTTTTACCAGTCCTCTGAGGCTGGGGTGATCTAACCCACTCTCCTGAGGTGGAGAGGGAAACTGAGGCATAGAGCAACAGGGCCTTACAGTGAGTCAGGGCCACAGGCCCCCCGTTAATCCCGCCACCCAGAACCCAGACACGGTGAGGCGAGGCGTAGCGCCGGGGTCGCTGGAGTGGGTGGCCGCAGGGCTGGGGCCTATTCCAGCCCCGTGCACAGGGGAGCCCCCTTCCGGCTCGCCTGGGGCTGGTGGATCCACTTCTGAGACTGCTCCCCCCGTGGGTGCTGGTGGGCGCCCCAGTTCCTCACTGGTGTTGGCCGGAGGGCTTAGTTCTTTGCCGCGTGGGTTTCTGCCTCGGCTGAGTGTCCTCACGCATCAGCTGTCTTCCCTGAGAGAGACAGACAGACAGACAGACAGACAGAAAAGGAGCATGAGGATAGAGCCACAGTGCTTTGTATGACTTGGTCTCAGCAGAAGTTGTAGACCATTGCTTCTGAGTCACTAAGTACAGCTCACACTCAAGGGGAGGGAATCAGGCAGGAGTAGGGATTGAACTCTGGGCCTGTCCCCATGCCATCCCTCTACACAATGTTTCGGACGGTTCCTTCCATAGTATATTAGCCTGGGCTCCCGTGTCCCTCTCTTATGAACCCAAATATACCTACCTGCCTCCAGGCCCCAGACGATGCCCCTGGCCATTCGGAAGTGCTGTCAGAGGATGGGGTGCATGTGAAGGCCAAGCAGGAATCAAGAGCCATCCAGCTTCAGGCCACGGTGACACAGCTCCAATGTGAATCTCTTGGTCCCCACAAATTTGGGGAACAAGGTAAGGACTTTGATGGGTCCACCTGGGATCTCTGGTGGCCCTGTGTAGGGTAGCAGTTAAGACCGTGGACTCTGGGGTCAGAGTGCCTGTGTTGTAACTTAAGCACGGCCACTTAGCAGCTCTGTGACATTGGGCAGGCCAGGTGGCCATCCGGCACCTTTGGTTGACGCATCCATGGGATGGAAATAAATCATCACAGTCCTAGAGTCGTTTGGGGATTTGCTGAGTTAATGTGTGTGAAAGAGGTGGAACCGCGCCTGCTTACACACCTCCTTTCGGGAGCCTCGCCCTCTCCGGGGCCCCTGCAGCCATCACAGCAGTGCTCCTGACCCCGCTCTGGTCTCAGGTTCCTCCGGAGCCCTTGTCTTCCTCACTCCGCCAGTTCTGTGCTCTTAGAACGCGTGTGCTTGGACAGGATCTTCCGATGCCCCGTCCCGTGGCTGTGCTGCCCCTAAAGGACAAAGACGTGACGTTGTCCGTGCACTTACCGTTCCAGGTGCCGACGTTGTACCAGAAAGCCAGGAGTCGGCCGTGCGGCAAGAAGTTTTGAAGGAAATGGAACGTTTTGGAAATAGCCGACTCCAAAGAGACGCTCCCCTGGACTCTCAGTGCCGGGAAGCTTGGAAGCGGGAGAGCAGGGCGGGAAAGCCGAGGGGACGCGCCGCCGGAGAGCGACCGCACAGGTGCAGCGAGTGCGGGAAAGGCTTCGCCCAGAGCTCGGTCCTCACCCAGCACCAGAGAACCCACACCGGGGAGAAGCCCTACGAGTGCGAGGAGTGCGGGAGAGCCTTCAGCCAGCGCTCCGGCCTGGTCGAGCATCAGCGGAGCCACACCGGGGAGAAGCCCTACGTGTGCGAGGAGTGCGGGAGAGCCTTCGGTGCCAGCAACGGCCTCATCAGACACAGGAGGATCCACACGGGGGAGAAGCCCTACGGCTGTGAGGAGTGCGGGAGAGCCTTCCGCCTGAGCTCCTACCTCGTTCAGCACCAGAGGATCCACACGGGGGAGAAGCGCTACCGCTGTGGCGAGTGCGGGAAGGCCTTCAGCCAGAACGCGGGGCTCTTCCAGCATCTCCGCGTCCACACGGGGGAGAAGCCCTTCCAGTGCGGCCAGTGCGGCAAGCGCTTTAGCCGGCGGACCCTGCTCGGCAAGCACCAGAGGAGCCACACGGGGGAGAGACCGTACACGTGTGACGAGTGCGGGAAGGCCTTCGGCCACCACTGCAACCTCATCAGGCATTTTAGAATCCATACCATTGCCAAACCGGACTAATTCCCCGGGCCCCCAGACTCCTGGACGGGGCCGTCTTGGAGAGTCGGCTTTTCGCGTGGCTCGTTTTGGCCAAGTTTACGGTGCTCCAGAACGAGTGGCTCGCCTGTGCAGACCCGGTGCCGGGGTCTCCTGGTGAACGGCCGTGGTTGTGGGCGGTTCCGGGCACCCCCCTTCTTCCCTATCCTTTGGTTCGTTTCTAATGATTTCCCTCAAAGGAGACCGAAACCACCTGGAAATAAATTGCTGCGGAGGGGCTGTTCATGGGTGATACTGAATACTGAACAACTCTGAAAAACTGGTTTCTGTGTATGTGTATACGTTTTAAAGATTGGGTAAATCCAGGAGCGCCGGGGGCCTCAGTATACTCTTTAAAGATTAGGTGAATCCAGGGGTGCCTGGGTG